ACCTACCTAGTACCTACATAGACATTCATGGAGACTTGGGAGAACCATCGACTCAACATTTGAATTGCTTCTTCACAATTCATGGTATGATTGTTATCGGATTACGTAAGTATTAGGTAGGGCCCAGTCAAGACGGCCCGAAGCGCATATATAAATGGTCAAAGCTTACACGTGAGTGCCTAGTAGTAATAAGTCAATGAGAATTGCAGCTTGTCAACCGCCACGATGTATCGTAGAAGGATTCAGAATATATGCAAGAATGTATAGCTTTAGTATCTGATTGGATGTCTAATTTTGATCGGTCCATAGTCTCAATTGAGAGCTCATATGGAATTGTCCATCTTGATCTGTTGCCTTGTTGCGGAGGACTCAACTTCATCACAGCCTCGACCGTTAGATTCTTCAGTTTAGTTGAGCTTAGAAAGTGCTGTGGTACATCGGCAAGGATTCTCTTTGTTATAGGAAGATTGTTGACTTCATTAGGCAGCCTGTGCATGTATGATCATCACAAATATCAAGAGTTGATATGAACTTGAAGGGGCCAGGTTATGCTGTTTGCCTCTGAATTCCCCATTGTGCTCAACATTGCGAATCACAACAGCTGAGCTAATTTTGCATGGATATTGCAATGCCAATTCCCATAGATCCTATCATTTACGCATTCGGCAGCGAATCTAGGATCCCAGCAACGAAACGTGTTTTGAGATGAGGACGATCCGTCGTACAAACAGAAAACAACCATAGTACAATAGGCAAACAATCCGATTCAAAGCATTTAACGTAATCCCGAAGTGAACCGGACAGTATTCACATTCGCCTCCTAACACCAGCCCCACTCGCTTGCATGACGGGCGCAAAGGGCTTCCAAGGTGCAATATGGGCATCGTTCCCCCCCAGTACCTTGCTCTTGTTCGTCTTGTACAGAGATTTGATCTGTCTTCGTATTTTGATTACCGCTCGATGCTTCACCTCCCCCGTTCTGAGCTCGCATCTCGCCGTCCCGTGCAGATTGAGATCTAGTGTCGTGTTCACTATTACTATGACCTGCTCGAGCAGATCTTCTCGCAAATCCTGACTGGGCTAACGTTTAGTATTGTGGTTCTAGCGTGGTTTATGAAAGTAAACTTACTCCAGGGTGTGACTTTGCAATACGTGCAGCAGCCTCGGGGGTCATATGGCGGTTTCCCATCCTTGTGTTTAAGTGAGGTGATGGACTTCGTCGATATGCAGTTGGCAATGGGCTGATTTGAAGAGGCGTTCCACAGTTTAATGTAGGTTCAAATGATTGAGAGGTTTGGTCTTAACGAAAGGATGGGACATCGCAGGTATATGTAGAATTCGCTCGACATCGTAGATAGAGTCTTAAAGATTGAATTGGGAGCTTTGCATGAATTTTAAATCCCAATGCAGCACGTCTCAAGACTTCTCATCTGCTTGTCCGTCTACTCTTTGTCCCAGCCTTTAATCACATAAATATGCCACAACTGGTAACTCTTGCGCGAGCCTGGTGCTGTAACATATCAGCGACAATTCCATTCGTTCGCTTCCTCTACTAACTTGCACTTGGCATACAACACTTCAGCGGGTGTGTGCGCAGGAAGCAGCTTCACCGTCCCCAATTGTTGCGAATGTGGGCAAGAGATCACCAACCATGAGGTTAGGTTCCAGTCCATCATGTCGGGCTCATTCCCGCCTGCACCCTCATGTACCTTTCCGTATACTGGAAGAATTCTCAAATGACCCGAGTCAATTGTCACTGCATAATCCTGTATTAAGAATTCGGGCCGAGTGTCTGAAGTTTTTATATGACGATAATTAATCATAAAAATGGCCTAATTTAAATGTTCTGGAGGAAAGTGATATCCCGGAAGATTATAATGGAATGGTATTGGACGCTGCGTCTTCAATCGCTTGCAGTATGCAGGGTCCTTCGCGAAACGTTATACAATGACTGGTTGAAGTCAGAGACGGGATTCTACAGTTTCAGACGATATATCAATGCATAGAAAAGCGGTGTCAACCCATAGCTCCGTGTGATCAGACGAGTCATATATTGAAGTGAAAAATAATGTATTGCAGCCGTTCTGCGACTTATCTAGTGCCCATGAAGAATATCACCCTTCTCTACTATGCTCTTCTGACATTTAGCCAGGATTGCAGCTTGCCTACCAACTTCTTCCAGCCTACCAATGACATCCTTATTGCCGTCTACAAACCCATAGAGCGCATAGGGAATGCCTACTTCATTGCAAAATTCTAACACAAGCTTCTGGGCGCGGCGAAGATTGTGTCTAGGCATCCTGGGAAAAAGGTGATGAATAGCCTGAAACTGAAGACCTCCGTGAAAGAAGTCGAGCCATTGTGGGCAGTCGATATCCATAGTCGTGCGTAGCATCTTCTGTGGAAAGGACTCGTGGGGCCCAAGTTCAGACGTGCTCATGGAGAAATGTGAAAGAGTTATCTGAGCATGGACTGGCATAGTGACCATATGGCTGATCAAGACAAATGCAACTCGGGCACCATTTGTAGGAATGCTTCTGTAAACTACTCCATAGCCATACCAAGTCCAAAAGAAAACCTGGCCCGCAATTTCTAGCCATCGTTGCCACCGTGCAGGACCTTTCTTTGGCCCAAGACCCCGGAGAAGATACTCCCAGGACAAGCGGTAGAGATTGAATCGACCAAAGCAGAGTACTACATAATAATAGTATGATTGGTACGGAAGGAGAAATTTCGCGAATGCGTCATATTCTAAGCATTTTTCATAGTAAGTTGAGGTCAGAGAGCTCAAAAATCTATGGGTAACGGCGAAGAAGGGGATATGCTGAATGTCTGGATCATGCTCGGGAGAGTTTGTCACAATGTGATGAACGTTGTGGTTACGTTTCCACCATCCAATTGATAGACCACCAATGAAGTCTGCAAGCCAAATGCCGATGAGCGAGTCAATCGTGAAGTTGTGGGTGATTCCCATATGGCCTGCATCATGCACCGTAAACACTAATTGATGCCATAGACAACCAAGAAACAGCCCACTTGTCCCATACCAGCCCCACTTCAAGCACATGAATGCCATAGTGGCAAAGAAAGTATATCGGCAGCATTCGATTGCGTATGAAGTGTAATTGCAGTCATACAGGCCTTCTGCACGCATCCGTTGATCCAACAGACGGTACTTCTGAACAATTTCTTCTTGAGTATCCGGATCTAAAGAAGGATATTTTGCATGGTCTAGGACAATTTGTTCTCGAGTCAATGCATCAAAGTGAGACATGCCGTCGTCCAGGTCAGGCGCAGATGAAATGGAAGAGGCAGAGGACACCGGGCGATCTTCTTTAGCCAACCCTCTTCTGCGCACTTCTGTGAAATCTTCATCGAATGTAGGTGAGGGGAGTCTTGAAGTTTCAGAGCTCGATTTTTCATCGCAAGTATTGTCGTCTTCTTCGGAATCGTCGGACGTGCCTTCGACATAGCTTCGAAACTTTCCGTATTGTATTGGAGGGACAAAGTTCTTCCAACGACCTTCTATTTTACCGATTTGATACCTTCCCATAAGGGCTCTGGTTTCTGCCGAGTGTAGACTATAGAGAATCTATTAGTTTGGGTGATCTCGGAAGAGTGATTGTTACTTTACGGACGCGTTCACTTCATCTGTTGCATCCCTTCCTACCATATGCTTAATGGCCTTGTCTCCTCCGGGATGGTATTTCATCCAAGCATCTACTTTGAGTACGGCCTGGTCAACAATAATGATCGACCTGCCATCTGCGATGAGACCTTCGACTTGTCTGCGAGATATAATCTTCTCCTTAGAAGCGGCCGCCACGGCCTTCAAGGAAGACATTGTAAAATGATCGTTTCGTGGGACAGATAAGCTGAAGCCGATAGTAAAATAACAGAAAAAGTGTGAAAAGCAACCAATCAATTGACGCTCAAAAGAGTTTGTATCGAATAAACATTCGATGATTTTGATTGATTATACTTTGTGAAGAAAGATAATTGTACGAAGTCTAAGAGTCTAGTATCTTTATTAGTAGTAATCGTTAAGAACTTGCGGTGTATAGTCACAACTTACTACGGAGGCTCGGAGGTTGATGGGATAAGTTGTGTAAGCCTCATTTTTAATAAAAGTTGTTGTTTTACGAAATTCCAATACTGCTTTTACTAATTTTATTAGATATTCAATTATTCCCTTCAAAATTTCGAATTTTGATATCTTTTATTTACATTTTCAACTTTTATAATTTGAAAGCTTTTAAAGCTTTTAAAGCTTTAAATAGATTCTAAATAGTTTCAGAATAATATTTCTAAAAAGAAAAATATAAATTTCAATAAATTTGAGTGATTTTATTAGAGATAAAATAAATTTATAATACTTTTACTATCTAAAGTTCACTATATAAATTTTCAATCAGCATAATGATATGATTGATCCAAAAGATAAAAATGGGGAAAAGCTCAGTCGCTTTTTGGTGTGTTTTACAATACTTACGCCGTCAACCTCCGTAGTGATGCCAATCCCTTGAACCAGTGGCGGGGCTTGGATTTTTGACCCCTAATTTTGTGGGACAGGCTAAATGTCGTTGGTCAAGCCTGTTTCGTCTTACCAATTGATGAAGGTTCAACATCAATATCAACTAAATCAACAATCTGACCCTTCCACCTACACATTGGACCTGGTATTTGTGGCATTCTCTCTACTTCAAGATGACCTTGATACTGTCCCTGCTGGTCATTCACGAATATGATTGTACATGAATGATATCGTCAAGGGTCCAAAAGTACTCTATAAAAAGGCAGTTCGATGAGCAGATACCTGGTCACCCCATTTACCCATATATCTGCAAAAAAGTGGGTTGGAGAAGCTCTCACCTGTGGGTCAATTGCGAATAAACATATGGCATGAGAATTGATGCAAACAATTTCAATCTTCTCCATAGGCCAAGCTCATAGCGTGAGAGAGCCGGTTCACAAAAAGGCTCGGCGGAATGTTGGCAATAGTGACGGCAACGGCGACGGTCTTGAATGGGATTTTTCGTTTCCCTCAAGTCTAACGCAGATGCCTTGTCTGCTATAATGGGTTGGTCCCTTGTGCAGTTTTTCTCTTACTGGGGTTTGAGTCTCCTGCTTGCGTGTGCAACCCTACCGTTAGTGACACTGAGAGCGACTTCATTGTGACCTTCTGCAGTGAGCTGAATACCTTCATGCTACATCGAATGATTTTAGAAGTTTCTAGAAATAGTACACGTTTGGCTGTACTCTAGTGTATCAGCTAGTACAATTTACATGTCGATATTGTCACTTTTCCGGGTGTAATGTCTTTTTTGGATGTACATGTTATCTACTGCTTAAGCAATCGCTATTCGTTGGAAACATGCAGCAGTCACCATGATCATCTCAGTAATATCCAGGTCCAAACACTGCCCCTCGGGATTGTGCTGGTGAGTTGGGGTTCAACTCTTCCCACATTCGTACACCGAGGTGAAGTTTTGCATTCTAAGGCGACCAGCAGCCATTTCTATCTCCCATTGAGCCTAAGACCGCTACTATCCTCCTCTCCAGTGACTCTTCTAGACAAATCCAGTAATCACTACTTCACCGAAGGCCAATCGCTGTTTTACTCGGAAGTGACATTGCATACGGCGATGGGACAAACTATGTTTGCTTGATATCCTCACCTCTGTGTAACTTCAGATATACCTATCAGAAATCTCCTATTGCCCCAGAAGAGCAGATCTAAAAGTCACATAAACTACAATATGGAATTTTCTTCGTTGTTATCTCCTAATATTCCCGGTTGTACATGAGTGTAAGCCTCATTCTGTTGGGCAAAACCCATCGTTTCACAGCGAGGGGGTATTTCTTCCCCCCAGGTATAAAACACTCGCTGGATATCCATCTCATTCTCTCGAATCCAGCAACATTTCAATAAACGTTATTACAGCCCTACAAACCTCACAACCCTTTCAAATTTTACAACCTAATCTTTCAAAACATACTTTTGTCTTCAACCATTATCACAATGAATCTTACTTGCCTCCGCAAACACAATCCCAATGCTTTCCGCCAATTAGACACCCACATCGACCCAATCTACCTCCAAACACCACACCGACCCCAAACTGCGCTCGCACATTCCCTGATTATCCCACGCACCCATCCTTCCCACAATTCTACTCATATCTATAACGACTGCCAGTCCTGTGAAGACGATCCACGAACTGGTGCTCATTACTGCCGTACTTGTATCGAAGCTCAATATTATTCACTCCAATCTCAATCTTATTCACAATCTCAGATCCAAGATATGTACTATACCACGTGCGAATGTCCGCATTGCGACAGTGGTTTGAATTCCTATACGAATAGCGCGAGAGGGTATACGAGGGGTGATGGAAGATGTTCAAGCATAAATATAGAGCCTGTTACCCAGCAATTGTAAGTTTGATTATTCACTGATAAACGGAAGGCCACAACAACAATTGTGCTAACGAACGGCCCACAGACATAATGCAGGAAGATACGCCCATCTGTCTCGCAGTAGACTCGGACGAAGTCCTTATAGAGATGTCGGATTACTTGGTTCAGGTACATGTTTAGGCGCGGCAGGTGGATTGAGTGGCTTGGGAAACGTAGGTGGTCTCGGAAGTCTGGGTGCTCTTAGTGGTTTTGGGGGAGTGAGAGATATGAGAGATGCAAGGCATCACGGCGGAAGATGTGGGCTACAAAATAATCGGCTTTCATATCGGATTTAGGTTTTACCTCCTAGCTTGTTGTCGTTTGCGGGTTATACCATTGTTAAGTTTCATTTTGTTCAAGTCTGTAATAGAGACCATGGGAGGAAGCAGGGGTCACAAATAGGAAGGAGTCAGTCGAGGATTATTCAGAAGTTCTAGGGTTTCATAAGTTATCAATGAGTACTGCATACGATTTATGTAACCATATCTTACACGAATCACAAATTTCAGTCTCATGCTCATGCTCATGCTTATGATCGCGCCATCATTATCAAATCACGCCCCCGCCACCTTTAACCTTCTAATAATGGACAGCCTTGCCATAGGTAGCCATAGCAGCCTCTTTAAATGCCTCTGCCAAAGTTGGATGTGCGTGACACGTGCGTCCAATATCCTCACTTGACGCGCCATATTCAATAGCCAATGTAGCTTCTGCAATCATCTCTCCGGCATTTGGTCCGATAATGTGAACACCAAGGATTCTATCAGTCTCAGCATCGGCAAGCATCTTTACCATACCTTCGGTGTCCAAGTTGGTCTTCGCTCTTGAGTTTGCTGAAAATGGGAATGTGCCGGTCTTGTACTTGGTGCCAGCAGCCTTGAGCTCCTCTTCATTTTGGCCAACCCATGCGACTTCTGGATGTGTGTACATAACAGATGGGATGGCTGCGTAGTTGACGTGTCCGTATCCCTTCTTGATGTACTCAACGACCGCAACGGCCTCTTCCTCGGCCTTGTGGGCAAGCATAGGTCCGAAGGTGCAGTCACCTACAACTCGGATGTGAGGCACCTTAGTTCGGTATTCCGAGTCGATGACCAATCTTCCCTTATCGTCAGTCTCGAGACCGATGTTCTCTAATCCGAGACCTGCGGTGTATGGTCTTCGTCCAATAGCAACGAGTACGACATCTGCGTCAATCTATGGAAATTGTTAGCGTGTATATGCAATATTTAGTAGATTTAGCGTACGGTTTCTTCCTTGCCACCCTTTGCAGCCTCAAGGCTAAGCTTGACCTTCTCACCAGTAACATCACCACCCATAACCTTAGTGTTGAGCTTGAAGTCAATGCCTTGCTTCTTGAGGATCTTTTGCGATGATTTTGCGATTTCAGCATCCATTCCTGGTCCACCAATTTGAGGTAAGAACTCAACAACAGTAACCTTCGTACCAAGTCTTGACCAGACAGAGCTCATCTCAAGACCGATAATACCTCCACCAATAACAACCATGCTCTCTGGAACCTTCTCTAGCGCGATAGCTCCTGTGCTGGTGATGATTCTCTTCTCGTCAACCTCGAGTCCTGGGAATGGTGTGGCCTCGCTACCAGTAGCGATAAGGATGTTCTTTCCAATAATAGTCTCTTCTCCACCCTCTGAAAGGTTGACCTTGACCTCGTGCTCGCCAGTAAATGTAGCAGTACCCTTGACGTATTTAACATTGTTCTTCTTGAACAAGAATTCAACACCCTTTGTGAGTCCAGCGACCGCAGTGTCTTTCGACTTCATCATTTGTTGCAAGTTGAGCTTGACATCTCCGACTTCGATACCGCGAGCCTTGGTGTCATGTAAAATTTGGTGGTAAAGATGCGAATTGTTGAGTAGAGCTTTCGAGGGAATACAGCCGACATTCAAACATGTTCCTCCAAGAGTTCCACGCTTTTCTATACATGTTACCTGCGTAAAATGTTAAAAGTCTGCAAAAAATTTCCTCCTATTAGGCAAACCATACTTTCATGCCCTCTTGACCGGCTTTAATAGCGGCAACATATCCTGCAACACCTCCTCCGATGATAACCAAATCTTGCTCCTCTTCTACATGTCAGTTGTTTTCACCCCGTGACATCGATTGGGATTACTGACCAGCTTCAGTGGCATATCCTCGTCGCGATAAGTTTGCAATTCCTGAAGGGGCAACTATCTTGGGAAGACTGCTAAAAGAGAAAAAAAGTTAGTACAGAAAACTTTCAACAGGAATTGAAGTCTGGTCATTGCACTTACGAGGATTGTTGTCTGAAAGCAGACCTGACGGTCGCTCTGGGCACTACTAAACTGCGAAGCATTTTGTATGAAGGGTATTGTTGTGTTATTCAACAAGTTTTAGGGTCGCCGCCGTTTGTTTAGTTACCGGACGGGCGAAGCGGATTGATCCGATAATCACGTGGAGATCTTTTAGAACCCTTTTTAGAACCGCGAGTTCCCGGCGCCGCTTGATTGTGTAAGCTAGAAGTCTCCAGGAAGCCCAAAAAAGACAATCAATTTGGCACTTGTAAGGGTTGCTTCGGCTTAGAAAACTACTAATTAATCACTACTGATACGATATACATCAGGCAAAGCCAAAATAATTAAAGGGAACAATCTTTATAGGTTCCAGCCCGTGTCTCACTCACTACTAGTAGTTATATGAAAGCACGAGCAAAGTAATTCAGAAAGGACGCCATCTTCTAGCTACTAATCCCACATCGCTATCCACTATCTACCTGGGGGTATCTGCATTAAGCAATGCCTGAAGTGTATCTCCAGCAACCTTACAACCCCATTTGACGATATCCTTTTCAGCCTTTCCTCCTGCTATATCCGTCTTGCCTACTATTTTCTTTAAGAAATATTGCAGCCCAGTTATCATCTGAGGCGTTTCCTTCACCCTCGAGAACAGATTTGCAATTGCTTTCGTATCTCGACTCTCTTTCGATGCTTTCTGAGTTTGAAGAACAATAGTGATAAAGAGAACCTCACAGAAAGTTTTCGTCTTAGCTTGTAGATAGCTGAGATTTAGATTCTTGAGAACGTTAAGTCCAAGTCCACCTTCTGCCATCAACGTACCAAACATCTTGGCCAGATTGACAATGTGCCTCGTGTCCAGCTCAGTATCCTCTTCAAAATCTTCATCATCGTCGTCATTTGTTTCGCCCATTTTCTTGAAAAGATCCCACAAACTGAATTGGAAGGCCATCTTGAGCTTTCTATCACCACATAGTCTCTTTGCTATCAATGTGTAGTACGGGTTGTACATTTTTTCTGCGCCGGAACATTGTATCAAGACTTTCGGTATCTCAAGTTCCTGTACCTTTTTTAATTTCAATTTCATCAATCGTAAATATGCGTCTTGGTAGTCTGAGGCGGACATAATGGTGATGAATACAGCTCGGCGAATGTCCGTGTTCATACGTTGCTCTCTGGCAAGTTGAACGAGATCAGAGGTCCCTGCATCTACGTCTTTAACTTCTCTGGTGCTTTTAACTTTTGATGTGGAATCTTCCTCGTCATCGGCATTACCTGCCCAACTCGCACCAACCAACCACCATTTCCCCTTTTTATCCGAATCTCTAATGTCTTTTAGACCAATGCGCAGGGGTTCGCTAGCTTTTATACTTCGAGTATTCAGCGTTCCTAGTGTTTTTTTCATTCGAATTGTATGCTCTGAGGTGACAGCAGAAGCAACAGCCCCAGTTTTCATTTTGTTGTTTTTGAGATCGTTGATGGTTTCAATCATGAACTTTGTCCTCACGGACAATTTATCTTCGCCACCAGCTTTTTGGACGGCAGGCCGAAGCATAGTAACAATATCTTTTAGTGCTGAAGGGTCGTCTTGTCGTAATTGAGGACCTGAGATGCGCACAATTTTTAAAAGAAGCTCGGCATTCTGTTCCGATAGTGTATCTAAAAAGAGCTTGATGTAATCGAAAATGAGGCTGCTACCCACTACTTGAAAGTTATACAATTCTGAAAGTAGAGCTATCAGGTTGGTAGTTTCCTTGCTGTCGGGAACGGATGTCGAGGATTCTTGATTTAGTGATAGTATACGCGCATAGTGTTCGTCAAACAGTTCAACTATTCTTTGAACTACCTGAGCACCGAAATCGGTACCAATAATCTTGTATACTGCGGCAATGAATCCGGCGGGGAGGATTATAAGAGTGTCGGGTAAAGTCGTTGGTTCGCAAACAGATGTCAGGAGCAGATCGATGAGGGTGGAAGTCATGTTTTGACGGGGATTGGTCCGATACAATTTTTCTATGTCTCCAAGGAGGGATAATAGATTGGCTTCTGTCAACCTATTGACCAGACCTTGAGTTTGTCGCCGCAGACGCACTAAATCTTCAGAATCTGAAGAAGATGCTTTTCGTAATGAAGGTGGGATATATTTTCCAGTGGATGTTGCAGTTGCAGACACAGGTGCCACGTACGGGTTTTCGCGGACTTTTGGCTTCGGGGGGGCGTCTTCATCACTCCCCGAACCAAAACCTTCGAAGTCGTCCTCAGCTGTACCCTCATCGTCGTCACCTGAATCGCCGTCCGAGAAATCACCTTCCTCTATTGACATATCAGACGCTTCGTCGTCATCATCATCCATCATCTCGTCGTCTTCGTCCTCTTCTTCGTCCTCAGAACTTTCATTGCCCCTTGCTCGCTTTCGGGCTTCTGCTCTTTTGCGCTGAAGCCAGTCATTTGCCTCCGCTTTTCCTTTTTTCTTTTCTTGTACTTCCTCATCTTCGCTCTCGTCTAAGGCATCCAGATCACCCAGAAGATCATCTAACCCATCCTCTTGGAATGATTTTGGTAGACCTTTCTTCTTCCCTTTCAACCCCAATTTCTTCTCCAGAGCGGCGATCTCATCATCGTCTTCCGCCAATTTATCCTTGACAGCCCTCGAAATGTTTTTTCCTATCCTTGATTCGGTGTTCACATCGTCCTTAAGGGATGCCTTCGCTGGTTTGGGGTCTGCTTTCTTCGTCGTTTTCAATATGGATTTTGGTTTTGGGCTATCGTCTTGTTTTGTTTCTGGGATAACCTTCGCGTTCAGCGGTTCAATATCTTCGTCTTCCTCGTCATCACTGTCGACATGATTATACTTAGGATGTTGTGACTTCAATCGTTTTTGCGGAGGAGGCCTAGAGGACTGGGATCTACTCTGCTTCTTCTCTTGTCTTTCCGCTTTGCGCATTTCTTTACGCCCGAGACGTTTGCGCCCTCGACCTCCATTTCCACCACCATCTACAGAAAATTGTAAGCATATGAGAATGAGTTGTCAATGGCTAGTATTCACCTTCGATTCCCAATTGCTGAAGAAGACTACTGGGTAGCTTTGGAGCTGTAGATTTTGGCGGTGCCATATTTGTGAAATACCGTAACAAATAACAGACTCTATTTGAATCACTAATCAATGCTACAACTCCCAAGTAAACAGCTGCAGCTTAGTTATTAAATACAATAAGTTTTGTTTTAAAAGGCAAAAAATATCCGATCATCCTCAGATACCGATAAGAAATTTTGAGGTTTATCCAGACTTTTTTTCCTACCGTAGCCTTGACGAAAACCTTCAGCCTTGCTTTAGCCTGGTCCAGAACCCCACACATTTCATCACCCCCACAATCATTAATCGCAGCTTAAAAACAGCATCATAACAGCAGTTTACACTATGGTGTCGCATTTAAGTAATGATGAGGTATGTTTCTATTACTACTCATATGGCCTTGGGCAACTAGTAATTCTTTGCGCAAATAGTTCTTCTCGAAACTCGCTCCTCTTTTTGATTCCCGACGGGAAAAAGATCATGGTTCTGTTTTCTTAACACAGAAATGTTGTAAGTATTTCAATACCCATATGCTCCTGCAACGGAGAAGCCTTTCCGGACTTCTATGGACAGGTTTCTAACTGCCATAATAGATAGCTATGACTCGGCCTCCTATGCTTCCACAACCGCGGCGCTACCTCCCGGTAACGATGTCGAGATGAATGCTCTCAACGATGTCCTCACTGCTCAGTTCCCAGACCTTTCACGCGACGCCCCTATGCCACTTCTCATTCGCGCCACAAATGGCAAAGGCAAAAAGAAACGTTCAGAAAAGACAAAACTGTCCACCGTCGTCCAGCCAGATCAATTAGATTCGTTCTTCGCTAGATATGCAGAAATATGTAAAGGTGGCATGAGTGCGCTGAAAAAGAGAGATAGGAGCAAAGCGAAGGAAAAGCTTAAGGCAAAGAAAAGAAAGATAGGCACCACTTCTGCTGTTGCTCCAGGAGACGAGAAGAAGTGAAAGAATCGAAGTTGTTTTATGGTGGACGAATAAAGTGTCCTGAACTGCCCAGGTGGACGTGGATATTCCCGGAGAAGTAACCGAACAGCATGATTAAGGGGGGTGGATATTTTGATGTTGACATCACAGCATAGCGTCGCATATATGGGATTGCTACTTTGGCCTTCGTGGTGGATTGGTACATGAGAGTACATACTAATCTAATACCAAAAGGGAATGTGAGGCGTTTGCCAAGTTGTCGAGCCTCTATTCTCAAGGATTAAATTCAGCCGTTTATTTAATATTTGCCCATCTTCTTACATACACCTTTATGCTGGAAGTCACGACTACTTATCACATCTACTTATCACATCTTGTCTTCTGGGACTGTCTTTTCCGTGTTAAATGTTCATTGATGAATATACAGGTAATGATATCCCTTCCTCGGCCTGTGAATATTTACAAATCAGACCACCAGCACATATCCCATTCCACATATGAACAATGCATTTGTTTCCACCAACATATTTCCCTTTCCACATATGAACAAGCCTACTGACTTCTCAGCCGCCCCTTGCCACGCCTACCACTTTCAACTCATGAACTAACACACCATCTACTAATCCATTCGTATAAGAAAATCTTCTTATAGTACAAATCCATCCCAATCTATGTCAACGTCACAAAGTCCATGTCTATGTGAGACCACTCACTCGCTACCAATTCTAGGGGCGAGAGAAAAAGAAACACTTGAAAAACCTCCACGCCTAGGAAGAACAAAGGAGAAAAGAAAAGAAAGAAAAGAATAGTAACCGGCAGAAGAAAAGAAGGGTATCTAGATCAGGTTGTAAATGTAGCAAAGACACAGAAGTTGCCCTGAACTCTGGAACGTATAGATATAGGTCTATTTGTAAGTATGTCGTAAGTACATATTGCCGGTTGATAATAGTAATCCTCTAAGGAGGAGTAGCGATACGTGAAATAGGAAGAGAAGCACTAGCAGATGTATTGCCTGCTACAGTGGAAGTCGAAAGCAGGAGTTGAGGTTGAGGTTGCCGTGAAATTGTTAGGAGGAGCATGCTGAGCAATATGAGCTTCTGAGAGCGTGGGACTAGGCAAATAACGTGGTTGGGGAGTGAACCGGTCGACCGTCATTTGCGCGACCTGTGCGTCCGGGCCTGCGGATTGCATATCCGTATCATGAGTTGGTGCGAACTCATTGTTTGTCTCCTTTGAAGGAGAATGTGTCAAACTATCCGCATATTCGGGCCAGTCATTATGAGTCAAAAAGGTAGCATCATGACTGTGATGCAAGCCAGTTGAAAAGGCAAACTGATTCTATTCAGAGGTTGTTAGTTCATTTCTCTTCATATACGGGTCATATTAACGTACCTCAGAGGTGTCTAAATTATCGGACCTTACTCCTTCACCGCCGTCGTCAGTATTGAATTCACCATGTGATCCCTCGTGATCAAATTCAATAGAGGACTGGGGATGATCTTGATATCCCATTGTGTAGCGCTCTACTTGTTGCGGATTCACTTCGTAATCTGCCATGGTACCGTATTGGTGAAGGGGTGCCCGAACTGTGAATACAGGCATGCCGTGGGATTGTCCTGCATAGGGGTCGTCATCAACATCCATGCCGTAACTAGGTAAGCTAGGGTCTCCATTCTGTTCAGCGGATTGCCAAGAATAGTTGTTGTATGAGGATTCTGGAATGTCGGGACGAAATTGTCCTTGCTGATATGAGTTATTGCCTTCCATGAAAGACGAGATTTGATTCATTTGGCCCTCTTCTTTGATTGCTGCCAGTTTTCTTCTTCTTGCCGCCTCCAGGTGGTCTACCTCTTCTAGGCTTGGAAATGCCTCCTCCAGCAACAGTAGCAGTTGTGCGACGCTTCTTCTTAACGGGGCATTCAGGTACATCTTCGACAGCTTTATTCTTGCCCTTGCTTGCACATCCCGTTCCGTCACATGATTCACAGTCCCTAACTCCATCACTGCTTGCACCACAAAACCAACAGTTTCCAGCATGCTCAGTTCTTCTTCGTCGTCCTTCTGGACTACAGTTCTCTAGACCCTCAACCACAAACGCGTTATCGATAGGTGGTCTTCTAGCTTCGTAATCGTCTCCTTCAAGTCCTTCACTCATGGCTTGACATCTCCAACATGTACCCTGAAGCAACCACCGTTGATCTCTAACTCTGGAACCATGTACAAGACATAGATCTTCGGGACATTTTTCTAGCGGCCATCCGTCGGGACAGCTGCTATCAAGTTTGGAGACTTCGACGTAGGTTCGGTCGCAGCAGGTGTATCGAAAAGGGCGTATGAGACACATAATTATGTGTGAGCTGTAGCGATGCAGTATAATATCGGAAGTTGTATGAGTGTGATCGTGGTCGTGAGTCTCGTTATGTCTCTATTATTAATGCTTTATTGTTCTTGAAGGAGAATAAAAAGTTGATTTCGGGATTTGGTATTAGTTGTACATTCACGATTAAAGGAGATCAAGGGGGGAGACTTCAAGAACTATATAATATGACCAAGAACAAAGTCATTTTTGATAGAGTGAATATTCAGATATGATACAGGAGATGATTAATGATTCACGACCATCTTCAAATATGACTTTGAAAGACTCATGTGATTGTATTATTCCCGAGTATTTGTGATTGTTTATTAAGAACAACAAGGTGACAATCTTGTCCTTTTAGCATTGCTTGGTTGGCATACACTCTATGACGTTATTTTATGGCAATTCACGCTCACTCATCCATGGAAAGAGGTTTATCTCCAAAATAGACTTGTATTGCTATGAGTATCAGGCATTGTACTTGCTATTAGATCCATTCTGTGAGAAGACTTTTGAATGAAAGAAAACATAGAAAGCAATGCGCATGAATATTCACCCCTCCAGACTCGCAACGAAATAGTAGAGCAATTCCATGCTAGATGAATTCAAAAATTCATCCATGCAGAGAGAATTCTCAGCCTCTGATGACTTTTTGGGTGTTAGATCTTTGAGTACACATAAGAAAATCGAGCTTGATAAAAGAAAAGTGTGTTGTAACATGGGCGAAAGGTGTCGTAAGGTGTGGGACCAGTTCGTGTGCTTAGATCCGAGCTCACATGATTTGATCTTGTGTGAGGTGAGTGACTTCTGTCTCCATAGCATCACCGGCACCACCAGGGATTTGGTACTTGACAAAGCTCAAGCCGAGAGGACGACCTCCGTATTGGTAGCCAGAGAATTTTTCAATGGCGGTATCTGCATTCTCGGCCGAGTCAAACCTAACAACACCAGTACCACGGGATCGGCCATTAGGCTCATATTGGATCTCAGCCTGTTCGACCTTGCCAATGGTGGTGAACAGCTCGACAAGATCTTCGTTGCTAGTGGACCATGGAAGCTAGATTTACATTAGTTTGTAAAACGATGAGGAGTCAAATAATACTTACGTTGCGAACATAGATAATTTCACTTCTCTCAGTTCCAGCGGTAGCGTGGTCGGTGAAAGGGTTAGGTGCAGCTGCGGGAGCTCCAGCACCACCATCGAATCCACCAGCACCTCCGGCGTAACCTCCACCAAATCCACCACGACCTCCACCAAATCCTCCACCAAATCCGCCACGGCCACCTCCGAAGCCTCCACGGCCTCCAAATCCGCCACCGAAGCCTCCACGACCGCCAAATCCTCCACGAGCACCACCAAATCCTTGAGCACCTGCGAAGCGATCTTCGCGGACCTCAAGAGGGCGACCTTGCCAGTCATAACCATTGAACTGCTGAATGGCATTGCGAGCGTCATCGGGAGATTCGAAAGCAACAATACCAGAGCCCTTTGGACGTCCGTCAGGACCAACATGGACATCGGCGCGAACAACGGCACCATTTCGGGCTATATAATATTGATCAACATCTTGATCACATTTGTGTTAGTGCAGGAGGGAAACATACCAGCGCCGCGGAATAGATCCTTCAGATCTTGCCATCCAACGGTGTAGGGAAGCTAAATCGCTAAGTTAATATTCTCGGCACTAGAGTCATAAAAAGGGTAAAGATAGATGGGGACAAACGTTGGAGACGTAAATTTGACGGCCTCCACCTCCAGCTCCACCTCCAGGGGCCATGCCACCTCCGAAACCACCTTGGAAACCACCACGACCTCCTGGTGGACCGCCGCCTTCGTAACCGCCACGGCCTCCAGATGGAGTACCAGTGAATCGGGGTTCGGCCTCACGATCCTTTTACAAAAATTAGTAAACGTTGAAAGCACAATTGAAACGGCATAGAATGCATGCTTACCTCTCGAACGTAAACGAGTCTTCCCATAAGGTTCTGGTTGGACAGAGTGTTGACTGCCTGTTGAGCTTGCTCCCTCGTAGCATATTCTACAATGCTATTTCGAGTTAGCATTTGAGATCAATCAAGTTTAAGACTGTTGTTACTTACCCGCATCCCTACAATACCCGCGGAACAACGTCCCAATCCGTCAATCCAACATTCCATCAAAATCCAAGAGAAAAAGAAAAGATTCAAAGCCAAATCACGTATAGGCGCCCACCTTCGACATTCCATTAGGAAGCAATAACACATCAGCAAAGAGGACCTCTCCAGCTAAAGAAATCGAACCCCTGGTTAGCCCATATTCCCAACTCCAACCTCCATTATCGAACACTGACCAGATCTCATAAAGTCTTTAAGATGATGCCACTTAACATCGTATGACAAGTTGCCGACGTAGACACGACGGTCTTGTTGCGATGATTCACGTAGAGTGCTCATCATTTGCTCTCTGGCCGCAGCTCTCTCTTCGTATGTCCTATGTGGTTGTCCACCGTAAGCTGATCCCCCAGAACCACCTACACCTGCAGCACCCGACATTGGGGATCGAGATCTGCGATCGTTTCTGCGATGTTCGTCACGGCTGCGTGAGCGACTGCGAGGAGAATATGAACGACGACGTTGGGTGCGTCCTGGACTGCGAGAGCGTTGTCGACGAGGTGAACGAGATCTCTCTCTCTGTGAAACGTAAGCTTCTTTGACCATTAGATAGACAAAAGACAATGAAGGAATCGAGTTGTGCGAGAATATTTGTATGTGTGGGTTAGACCATCAAGGTTCTTACGCCATCAATTAGGAAAGGTTCCCACAGAAGCGCACTGGCGCGTTGCGATCAACGGGATCTCACGACTAGTTTGCGCCTGGAGATGAGATGCCATAAGCCGAAGACTCATAAGGCTTTCGGGAGTGCCTTATATTGCCGACGCTCAGCTTTGCGCAATGTTATACTGGAAAGATTATTGAGGAAGCAGAAGAAATTGAACATACTTGTGGTCGATAAGAGTCGTCCGCTAGATCAAATAATAGATTGTTAATAAAATGTTCTAAAGGAAGCAAGATTGAGGTGGGGTGGTTTGTGTAAAGGTTAAGGAAGAATCGAAGGTAAGAAGGTAAGAAGGTTTCAATGACGTGAATAAAACAAGACCAGATAAAGTGAATCAGAAAGAAGGTGAATGGACTAATTGGGAATGGAGGGGAGGGCATTGGGGAACATACCCATTGTATCTATTGTGAGTGAAGTATTAAGGTGATAAGTAGAATCAGGAGGCTGCTGCTGCTTAATGCTCTAGCCTGCAGGTTGGAGACGAAATGGACTCCCAAGTGACTGCGCACAAGGATTCTATGGACTAAGTAAGGGCGAATTAAACGTTGCGTTTAATTGATCGAAATCGGCAAATAAGTTGAACCAGTGAAGCTCCGTGAAGAATATTCGATGCGGCTTATAGGGACCCGTAAGGAAGAAGAACTTCAACAAGGGCAGTATGGCACAGCGTCTGTTTTTTTATCCTGCGGCAATGTTCGTCAACAAGGGCGTTACCAAAAAAAGATCGTGGATGAATGTCAAGGGTTGGATCTGCCTATTTGGAACGCGTCCTGGCTGCGGTGACAAAGCTCGAAGAAGAGCTGATGAATGGATTGGGAGGACAAGACTTGAGGATGTCTTGGGGGGTGGGTTGGGAGTAAATGATATCTGAGCCATAAGTGAGAGCTTACCTGGTTGTTGCTTTGACCAATGGTTGGGTTAGAAAGGATGAGATACAGAAAATTTGAATTAAATTTCTATATTTTCCTTACCCGACTAGATGGCTCACAAGGGTGTACTACTCCTTGAGGTAATACAGATGAAAGATGGTGTGGTTCAAATCTGTATGGATGGGGGTGTGTTGGGTGGTAGATGTTTTGATGATGGGTGGAAGGTGTAAGGTGCGAGTGCCTATTGAAGACGCGATGTAATGAGGAGTTGGAGAAAAATAGCTAGGTAGCGCGCAGGAACTGTTACCTTTTCGGCTGATAACCGGCAGTGGTCTCTCTATCAATTTTTGGCTTCAGCTGAGACATAATCTATTAATCATCACTCTCAAATAAGAAATAATAGCCCAATGCGGTAGTTGGCAGGTGCGTTATTAGTAATTAAATGTCGACGATTATCACAAATGATTATATGTATCTATCTCTATTTCTAAACCTACCTCGAGCCTACCATCTAACGTGAACCAAATCGTTCACCGAAGCATTTCTTACATCGTACCGTACATTCCCTCACTTATCCTCCATACATACATAATGTTGTTGACTAAACCTCATACTCATCTTCATCCTCTGTTGGTCAATTCTTTCCAGATATGGCAGCATACGAAGACATATTGATATTGGCACACGCTCATGCATTGATTGCACTTGGGCATGTTTTCATAGTACTGCGGACTTTCAGGTACGATACCATTGGATTTGCTGTTTTGCAAGTTCAAAAAGAGAGAGGTCGACGTATGGAGTATAATCATGCGAACCACTTGTTCTCCACGCCTTCAATATCTATCTTTGGTTATGGATCGTATCATGATGGGCCCCTCCACTCCTCCAGCGTCTAGCGAAATTTCCGGACTACAACGCGGGACCATGGACTCCATCATAGTATAATCAATGGATGTCCCTAGAGTCAACATGAATTATGTGTGCTTTTTGGTCACTCTCATTGTACGGCGCGAGTAGTCGTGTATATATATGATACAACGGACCCATAGCTTACTCCTCTCAACTCACCGTCTCAATTGGACATATTAGTTATTTCTATTATTCAGACTGATATTCATTGCATGCTACTCAATTTGGTTCAGGTTAAAGAATCTCTAGGATCACCTCGCCTGGATTCATTTTACCTAATGGCCATCACAGATCTTGAAGTTCAACAATCTTCTACGAACCTCACATTTCTCTAATAGGCACCGTACATACAGACCCCCGCACAAGTCACAAAAATAGTTTAGTCTACGAAC